CAACTGAAATATGTACCCTAAGCATAAACTGTACCAGTAACCTTTCACTTTGCAGGACAATGGCCAACAAACTGAACCTCACAGGTCAGGGCAATTGTTCAAATTTTTATTGAAAAAGCAGCCAATAAGTCAAAAAGAAATAACTCTGTATTATAGTAAATTAGAAGATGAGAGGTATTGTGGAAATACAAAAAGAGCAGCACCTGGGAATGAGAAGCATGTGGATCCTGAGGATTTTAAGGATACACATTTAGAAAGGAAGATAAAGGGATTTTATTGCATTGTGTAGCTGTTCATCAGGAAGAAAAAGCCAGTACAAAGTTCTTGTGCCAGGAACTTTCTTAGAGTGTCAGACTACTCCTATGACCATTGTGCCAGTGGCAGGGTGCTGGAGATATTTTCTGTTTTTATTTAAAAGTGATTTTTATCATTTCTGTTAAGTTTTTAAATTTTTTTAACTCTCTGTTACATGTCTTAGCTTTAATGCTCTTCAAATGTTGGTTTATATTTCAGTATAATATTTGCTTTAAATTTTAAATAAAAAAGAATGTAGGTACATTCATGATTTCTTGTTAATTATAATGAAACTTCAGTGTCTGGGCTGACTTTTCAAAGATGGAAAAATGATTACAAAAAGGAGAATGTAAGAAAGCCATTGGCTGCAAGCACACACTTATTCAGGAGCAGGTGTTCAGACTGGAAGACAGTGTTTTCTGTGCCGTGAATGTGGGGAATATTTTACCACTAGAATTGCCTTATATTATTGTCAGAGTTTACACTGTGTAAAGGCTTTAAGTGTGCAGTAAACATGGAAGATCATTCAGCCATAAATCTGTGCCCCCTTGACACTGGAGAGTTCACACTGTGTGAATGCTTAGATTTTAGGAAATGTGTTACTGTCTTGTTCAGTGTAATGACACTAAAATAAACTCTGAGGAGCCATATGTCTGATTTGAATTCATGTCCCCAGCAGTTTCTATGGTTTAAGGCATTTTGCCTCTACCACTCAGTAAGTCTTCAGAATGTGTACCAGCCACTACCCGAATGTGCTTGGGGGAGGTTACCTCTGTTTTCCCATGTACTCATTTTTGACTTCTGTTGCCCCTCAGCAATACTCTTCCCAAGGCCAACAGTGCAGAGGCAGGAGCACAAAGGTGTAATAGTGTGGATCTGCAGTACTGGGTTGTTGCTCTTGTGACTCAGTCAGTATTACTGTTGACCTGGGTTGTAATGTCCTTCATTGCTTACCAGTATTGGCTTCTGCTGAGGCAAGACTGACCCCCGGGAGGCATGAGGAAATTGATAGTGGGTTGAAAATAATGATCTTAAGCATATTTTCTTTTTTAAGTTTTTTATTTATTGATTTGAGAGAGAGAGAGAGAAAGGGAGAGGAAAGAGAGAGAAACATCAATTTGAGTTTTGTTGTTCCACTTATTCGTATATTCATCAGGTGACTCTTGTACATGCCCTGAGTGGGATCAAACCTACAACCTTGATGTATCAGGAGGATACTCTAACCAGCTGAGCCACCTGGCTAGGCCATATTTTCTTAAAACAGAGAAACATAGAGATTTCGTTAAATGCAGAACCATTTTCACAGCTTTATTACAGTGTAATTCATATTGCATTAAACTGCTCATACATACAATATACCATTTGATAATTTTTTTAAAGATTTTATTCATTTACTTTTAGAGAGAAGGGAAGAAAGGGAGAAAGAGAGGGAGAGGAACATTGAAGTGAGAGAGAAACATAAATCATTTACCTCTTGCATGCACCTCAACTGAGGATTGAACCTACAACCCAGGCATGTGTGTTGACTGTGAATCAAACCCGCAATGTTTTACTTTGCAGGTGATGCCCAACCAACTGAGCCACACCAGTTAGGTCTCATTTGATAAGTTTTGATGTAGTATTGAACCTGTGAAACCATGATCATAGTCATAATAATAAGTGTATCTGTTATTGTATATTTACCTATTTTTATAATCTTTCTCTCACTGTCCTTCCCTTCTTCCAGATAACCATTGACTTATATTCCCTTAAAATTGATACCTTGCATTTCATTAAATTTGAATGCTTGCAGTTACGAAATGTATGTGTTAATACATTTTTAAGATTTCTCAATGTTGTTAGATGAATAGCTCACTTTTTTTTGGTGAGTAATGTTACCTTTGTATATACAAATATTAGTTTGTCCCTTCCTTTGTTTATGCACATGTGTTATTTCCAGCTATCTTCCTTTTCTTTTCTCAATAAATTAGAATGCAGTGTCTGACTCACAGGGTAGGTTAATATTTAAGTTTTGAAATGACTCACATATTGTCATTTAATCAGTTTTGTTTTGCATTTTTATCAAGAGTGTATGAGGGTTTCATTTCTTCACACTGTTTATCTAATATCTAATGTTAGCAGGGCTAGTAATTAACCCTGCTGACATTAATAATAATAATTATATTTGTTCTTCACCTTTTTCTCAAATGTTGTGTTTGCAGCCCAACAATTAATAATTGCTAAAGGTGTATAAGATAACTTTTGTATTATTAATAATAGTCTTCTTATGTTTTCTTTTTTGAAATTTAGAAGAAATGCTATTACAAAAGGAAGGAAAGAAATGTCTATATTTTTGAAAGACGGTAAAAGAAAGTAGTTCATCTGAATAAGTTGGTTACTTCTGAGTTAAAAAAAGACAAGCCCTGGCTGGTGTGACTCAGTGGATTCAGTGCCAACCTGAGAAACAAAACATTACCGGTTTGATTCCCAGTCAAAGCACATGCCTAGATTGCAGGCCAGGTCCCCCAGTGCGGGGAGTGCAAGAGGCAACCACACATTGATGTTTTTCTCCCTCCCCCATCTCTAAAAATAAATAAATAAAATCTTTTTAAAAAATAAAATTACAGTAACGATAAAAAGAAATTCTTACTGCCCTTTTGTCTTCATTGTTATTGTTATCTTATTAATTGTTGACTGTAACTATCCTGTACCTCCTTATGTAAAAAAAGTATGTGCCTATCATTTTCCATTTTATTCAATCCCAGAGGTTTCCCCCCAATTTTGCTTTCTCCCACCTCCATATTACCAATGGATTTCATGTAACCCACTTGTGTCTTTTTTTTTACTGCAATGTATAAAATAAGGTACAAAACTGCCATTTTTTGGAGCATTTTCTCAATTCATTGAGGTTTTCCTTTCAGTAACTGTCCATTGGGCTCAAATAAACTCACAAAAATTCTTAAGGATTGGAAGTTTCTTATGATCTAATAAATCATGCAACATCCTAGCAACTTGAAAGGTGCTAAGAGTTGCACAAAATGGAACGATTTTATAGACAGAAACAGGAGCAGGAAGGGGGATTAAGAAGTTAAATGAGTGGAATATTTTAGGCAAAGTCACCTTTCCCTAGGGAAAGGTGAGGGTCTTATTTGACAGGATATTTTTGAGCCAGGACACCTTTTCTTAAGGGGGAGAAGACCTGGAAATTTTTTTATTATTGAGATTGCCTCTTCTTTCTATGGGGGATGGAGAGGGTTCTTGAGACACATTCATTACCTTACTGATGGTTGGCCAGAAATCATGTTTCTGGGAAGGATTGAAACTGCAATTAGCAGATATTGTGCAGATGTTCAGCATCAGCAATGCTATTTTGGGCCTGTGGTTTTTTGTTTAAAAATAGCCTGTTGTTCTGAAGCACAGGTAACACATGGACTTGGAATTCACAATGAAATGGGGCATAGTCTCGTGGGCTTGTGCCCTGAACCTATCTTCAGGTAGATAGTGTCAGAATTGAGTTTTTGGTGCAATTAACAAGTAAAGACCTTCCCTCCAGGTAGCAGCAGCGCTTTCCAGGATCTTCCTGTTGACGGGAGAGACCTGGTTATTCTTGCTGACTCATGTAAAGAATTACATATCAGCAAATCTAGCAGTATATAATCGGTTTATTCGTGGCCCATTCTCATGTAAGAGAACAGGACTGGGTAGAGTAGGGGGTGAAAGGCAAAGTTTCAGGGCAAAGTTTGAGACAAGTAAGAGCGGCTGAAGACCAGGGTGGCAAGGCCCTGGCAGCCTAAGGCCAGGTGGCCAGAGGCCCTGTGGCAGGAGAGCCAAGAGCCCTGAGAGAGAGACAGAGGGGGGTGGGGGGAGGGGAAGAGGGAGTCCTTTGTTATCAGGACTTACATAGTTGGTGGGATAGGAGGGAAAAAAGTTACATATTGATTAACCGGGTAAATGTGGTGCCAGTTTTCCTGGGGAAGTAACTTAGGTATGTGTGGGAGTCTGTTAGCTCAAATCCTTATCTTGCTCCACTCCATTTGGTCATCTTGTTATAAAACAAATACTCGACAGGAGGCAGTTAATTAAAATTGGGGCACTTTCCAAAGTTATTTATGGGCTCTTTGTGTAAGCATCAGTGACCCCCTCCTAAAACAGATAGTGACCAGAGGTAGGCAATTAACCAAAGTTGTTTTATGGGCTCTTTTTTGGGGCACCACGGACCCTCTCCCACATTCAGACCTTGGGATAAAAGCATAGTTTCAAGGCTTTCTTTCCCAGATAGTGGAAATGTTACATAGAATTTCAAGGACTTCCCTTCTTTCTTGCTAACATAGTGTTTCTTGTGATGTTGGAACACCTGGCAATATTATCAGACCAGGCTTAGGACTGTTGAGTTAGCATGTGGGACTTGTCTCCTTCCTCCTTCCTCCGTTTACTACTTATTCTACCTAATTGGTAAAAGGTGTTTCCTGGCAACCAGGGTAATAAATGCTGGCCAGTGACAGTATTGCAGTCTCAGAGTTCTTCCTATGCTGTCTCCTGTCTCATTCCCAGAGCAAACATCCTGATTGCTAGGGTTAGACAACATCCCGCTCTGTGGCCATTACACCCCTGTGAACTACATTACCCAGAAGAACGTGCTGTGAGTTGAGCCAGTGATAGGTCAGAATAAAAGCCTTTCATGAGATTCAACCAAACAGGGCCGGACTTCCGGGACACTCTTACTGGTGGTCGTTATTGCTGCCGTGCTTGTGCTGTAACTTTGGGGTGCCGGGCTGGTTTCGAGGTGATAAAAACGGGGAAACCGGGAAGGAGTCGCCGCCGCCTCAGCACAGACAGGGGTGTGAGGCTCCCTCACGACCCCAGGGTGACCCGCTGGGGTCGGGACTACGACGGCAGTGCCCCGCGTCCCTTCCTCTCCCGCTGCTTCCGCGCCCCTTGGCGCACACTGTCCGATGGCGGCGGCCGCACGAAGGCGTCGGGCTGAGGTGAGTTCGCTTCCTGTGCACCTTCACCCCTCACTCCACCGAGCCCTGCAACCTGGGTGCGGGCTCCCACCACGTCCTACAGCCCCGGACCCATGGACCGCGTTTAGGTGGCGGAATGCAGGCCCTCCTGCCGGTGCTGCTATTTGGTCAGAAAGAGCAGGGTGCGGGATGAGTTTTTCTTTGCTATGCCCCAAACGAGGGTGCTACGCACAGAAATACAAGTGAAGGATGGAGGTGGTCACGGTAACCGTGTGGCAGGTGAGGCAAGCTTCAATGAGACGAGTGGACGTGATGGTTCTGGAGGCAGAGAAGTAACTGAGGTGAGGTGTCACTGAGGGCAAAGCTTCTGCTTGTTCGCTAGTGGAACAGGGTGCAGCCAGAGGGGGACACCCCCAAATAGGGATTTGGAATGCGGTCCAGAACTCAAGATGTTCAGGAAATATTACGATACCCTCCCCCCCCTCCCCCCACAGGTATGCGTTGGGGGAAGGGGCACTTGGAGCAGGGCCATTGAGAGCTGTTTTGCATAGCAACAGCCTTGCAGCTAACCTCTGGCATGGTCATTTAACATATGTATAATTGGTTACATAGATATGTTAAATAGCTGTGGCAATGCTCTGAGCCAGGGGAATGGAAGTCACATCCCCAGTAAGACTTAACTAGGAGGCAGGTCCACCGAGTTACAGCACCTGCCTCGGAGCTTGGAGAAGATTGGCTCCATGACATGGGGCCACACCTGCCAAGGCCCGTGATGGAAGCCCAGTGAAGCTGTAAGGATATGAGAGTGCTGGTGTAACTGATTGTAGGAGGATCCTGAAATGGGGCTGCAGAGGAGGATTGGCTCCGGTGTTTAAACCAAGACACGGCAGCCATTACGGGGAGAACGGTGCAGCTTTGGCAGAGTGGAGACTCCCGAAGCCATTGTGCAGAGAGGACCACACAGCTGGGGCAGTGGAGAGAGAACCACGTGGCTTTGCCAAAGTGGGGACCCCTGAAGCTTTAGTAGGGGGCACCACCACCCGATATTAGCAGAGATCTCGGGACACAGCTGATAGTGCCGGGAAACGAGGGAGGCCTACTAGCTGAGGTGGATTACTGGGAAGAACTGGGGAAGCCACAGACTTCTATTTCTTTTCCTGAGATACGGTACCCCAGACTGGGCAAAGGGGGAAAGAAAGGACTGTGAGTGTTTGTGGGTGTTCTAAGGGACTTTGGGATTTTGATGAAGACATCAGGTCACTACTTTAAGTTTGTATAGCACTAAATAAACATTTTCTTTCCTTTTCACAAATCTCTGGCATTGAGAGACATATCTCCTTTGGTGGCAGACATAACAAACCTGGGGGGTTTCTTTTGGGTAATAGCATGTTGTCCAAGGCCCCCCTTGTTGTTCTGTAACACTAGGGCAGGATCCACCGCATGTGTGTGCTGTGCTGTGAAAGGGTCTGGTGTCTCAGTCTTGCTGGTGGCTAAGGTCTGGGACAAATGTGGTCATTTTTGAGTGTCACTGGGCCTGGTATGGAGACATCTTCATGGAGACCATGGAGAGTTTCTCCCGTAACGTAAATGCTGCCGTGAATGGGATCAAAACTGGGGTTTTAATGAAGGGGAACCGGAAAAACTCGTGTCAGCAAAAGAGACGTTCAAACCCGTGTAGAATCGTTGGTGAGTTTGTTTGCGACAAACTAATGGCAATCGCTGGGAAGCAGAAATCTCCATGGGTTAAGAAATGCCCCGGAGAGCAGCAGTTTCGCACCTCATTTAATACATTCCACTCAGAGGAGGAGACTTGAGGCATGAAATCCACTGATATTAGGTTAAGGAGGAAGGAGAAAGCAAAGCTGGAGGGAAACCCCTGGAATTGGAAGAAAGGTAAAATGATAGACACTTCTTTTACATCCTTGGGTACAGGATAGTTAACAGTCAACAATTAAAAAGATAAGAGCGGGTTGTGAACCAAAGGGCCATTCTGTTTCAGGTCAGGGTACATGCCTGGGTTTCAGGCCTGGTCCCCAGTACCAGGTGGGTGAGAGACAACCACACATTGATATTTCTCTCCCTCTTCTCCTTCTCTTCCCTTCTCTCTAAAAATGAATAAATAAAATCTTGAAAAAAAAAAGAAAACGAGAACAATGAGGGGACTTGTGGTCTCTGCTTGTGTCCAAGGGGTTTGGGGAAAAGGAAGTTACCTTGACATTCCAGAGGTCTGCTATAAATGCAAAAGACAATAGTTAAGGTAAAGGTCAATTGACCTTTGTTAGGGAAGAATACTGGCCTAGAACATGGCTACCTTCCATGAACTGCTTAGTTAATAAGTTTTAATTTCAGACCATCTTTGTGGTTAATTTAGGCCTCTGAGTTTGTAAGGCTACCTCACAGGCCTCCCCCAAGCTTGTCAGGTTGATTTGTGGTCCCTTTTCTTCCACACCTGTGCTTGCTCTGTCTGTCACCACCTGACTCACTAAGTAGAGACAGAGATTGAAACTTTTTGATGTTTTATTCAGATGGCTGGCTAATTGAAAAGACAGAGGGTAAGTACACTAAAAGAACATCTTACATTTTTGCTCAAGCCAGCCTTTTGATAAGGAGGAAAAAAATGTAGATAAGGGATTTGGAATTCAGGGGGAAAAGTATAGGTAAGGGATTTGGAATTCAGAAAAAAGGTTATCAGATAGAAGCTGCAGTCCTGCAATTTCCCTGGCCTCTTCTCATGGTTGACTTGTGATTCTTTATCTATATCCTGGACAGTGGGATGCCTCTCCCTGGAACACAGTGGCTCAGATACATTCTCAATTGTGCAGTCCTCCTGGTGTTACAGAGCTGGCCAAAACTGTAAGCCAGCAAACCATGGCCTGTCTATGTAGCGCCTTGGTAACAGACCCACCAATTAATGCTGGAAGGAATAGATTTTTATTTACAACATTTCAACCCTCTGGGGTCGGGGGGAGCTCAGAGCCCTCCTTTCCCACAAGACCCAGCCCTTCACATGCTCCCCACCAGGCTACTGGCCAAAAGCCCCAAAAGTTTCCCATGTTCGTATTTTAAGCCCCGTCCGCAGTTTTCATTGTCTTTGCATTAAGGTCGCCATTCTTACACAGCAGCTCTTTCCTTCAGGATGTGGAAATGTGTCCATTAGCCTCCATGGAATAATCCAGGAAAGCATGTGCTGTGTTTTTCTGGATCATGGTGAAACTCAGGAAAGGCAAATCTTAATAGTCAAGGGAAAAATCCAGGTGTTGCTTGGGGTCTCTGGCAGTCAGGGTGGATCATGCCTTCAGTTCCTGAAGTTCCCTCAGAGGAAGGTTATGTGGAGAGAGGACATTGTGGCTGCTGAGGGTGAAAGCAGAGGTCAGCTGAGTCCAGGTAGTGCTGCCTTTCACTGCTCAGCCAGAAAGGCAGAGACAGGGATTGTATTATAATTGTGCTTTTTTTTTTTAACATTATTGAAATTATTTCTTTTTTGCCATTTTTTAAATTGTTCAAATACAGTTTTCTGCCTTTTCCTCCCTATAATTGTGCTTTTATTAATATCAGAGTGAGACAGGCTAGTGAAAAGCTAGGAGAATTCCTGGGAGAGTGGAATGAGGAAACTGAGACAAGAAGATTAAGGTGAAACTGAGTAACTTGCAGCCAGCTGGTGAAATGTAAGAAGACCTTATCTCCCCTTAACAGGGACAATTGGCAGTCAATGGTTTATACCTCTCCTCCCTAACCAGAGAATACCTAACCTCCCCAGCTATAAGGCTATCAACCACTGTCCTCAGGGAAGAGAGGAAGAGGAGTTTTAATGCAAATGGAGGGATAACAGCAGAAAAGGCAGCCAGCTTGGGAAGAAGCCTCTGACTACCCTTTCTGTTTCCACTCCTCTTACTCCTGGAGATTCCCCCTCCCAAATTCTTACAGTTCCCCTGTGTAAGCTCACCTCTGAAAGCACACCTCTGAAAGGAAGGTGGGTGCTAGGTTTTTCACCAGCCACTTTCACCAGACTGCTGGCCTCTGTCATTAACAAGAGCACAGTTATAATCCAATCTCTGTCTGCTTTCTAGCAGAGCAGTGACAGGCAGCAGGAGCCCTGGACTCCATTGTCCTTGGTTTCAAGAGGCAGGCAGTCTGAGAAGGTGGCAGGTAAAAGCCTTAACATCCACTTTCCCTTGAGCTTTCAGAAGCAGGTTTGCAAAGGGTAAATGTGGGAATATGGGAGGGGGAAGTACCTATGGGGAACTTGGAAATCCCCTTTTCCTTAGGGGTAAGGATAGGGGGAGCGCTCAGAGAGTCATGCAGCTTCTTCCCAAGCTGGCTCCCTTTGTTCCCCTGTTACCTCTCCATTCATGTTCCTTTTCCTCTGTTCCCCAGATACCCTCATTTTGTGTTTGGTGCCAGAATATCTCACAACTATAATGAGAAGTGTCAAAAGAAAGTTCTGTTGCACTTTGTGGAATCTTACTAAAAGTCTTTATTACTGGTTCCTAGAACATGATGATCAGCCTCCACATTCTTGGTGACCAGATACTTCAGGGTAGGGCCGGGTTGGATGTGCCTTTGTCCTTGTTTAGTGGACCATTAACTGTAATGAGATCTCAGCCAGAACATAGGTTAAATATAAACTTGCTGAATTGGTACCTAGTCTGTTAGTAGTTCTCTAAGCCTATGATGCTGAGAAAACTGAGCTGGCCCTAATAAGAATTGTATCTCTATTTCTCAGACCAGGATGATTTAAGCTCTGTATTCTCTGGTTAGGGAGGAGAGGTAGAAACCATTGCTCTCAAGTGTCCTTAGTTAGGGGACAAAAGGTCTTGGCAGTTCACCACCTAGCTGAGAGGTGCCCAGATTATTTGGCTTTGTTTAACTTTCTTGTCTAAGATTCCCCATTCCACTCACCCAGGAACTTTCCTAGCTTTGCACTATCCTGTCACAAGGGTTCAGCAAGTGCAGAACAGAGTGGAAAGGGGTCATGTTCTCCTGAAATTTACGTGGGCTTCTGGGAAGTAAATACTGAGGCAAGGGCCAGATTTATAGAGGAGGCCTTCAAAGCAGCATCTGCACAAATGCATACCTGTGGGAACTCAGGTGGGGACTGAAGGTGTCAGAGGGACAATCTACAAAATGATGGGCTTATTGAGAAAAACTAGGAGTTATGGTCCCAGAGCCCTAGTGTTGGGCACTGAAGGGTGAAGCATGAGCCCGCACTTGGCTGTGTCTTGTCACAATCTAAATACCCCCTACGGAGTTAATGACAGGGTGGATGGGACCCTACAAGCCAGGACCAGAACTGGATTACATCTCTGTGCCTTCCTGCCTGATAAGGCTGAGGGCTGAACAATAATGAATAAAAAGGGACCTGAGGGTATGACAGGCATCAGTGGAATTGCTCTGAACTGTGCAGCTTTGGAGAAGGGTGAGTGTGAGATAGATATGTGGGGGTGGGTGGGTTGTGGGCTCTCACACACACAGAAAATTCATGTTTTTCCCTGTCCCCATTGATAACAGGCCAGTGTGACCTTTGAGGATGTTGCTGTGCACTTCTCCTGGGAGGAATGGAGGCTGCTTGATGAGGCTCAGAGACTCCTGTACCTCCGTGTGATGCTGGAGAACTTTTCACTCATATCCTCTCTGGGTAAGATCCACGGCCTCACCAGTGACTCGGACTAGACTCTACTCCATCTACCCCAAGACCTTTCTCAGTGCTCAGGTGTAGACCACGGGCACTTGTTGCTGCCCCAGTTTTCCAGGTAGTTGCTATATTGATAGGGCTGGTGTGTTTTCACTGCCCTCTTCTCTCCCTTCAGTCCCAGTCCTAAACCTTTTTTTAGGGAAGGATTCAAGGTCAATACTATTACATTGAGCTTGGTGGATTCAGTGCTTGCCCTCTCAATATCTGGGTAAATGTGTCCAGATCCGCATCACTTTTGCATCCCAGGGTTTGACTCCTTTTAGCTATAATTTCCTGCTGCCTACCTGGGCCAGGAGTTGCAGGTATTGTCATGGCTGTTACATAATGGAAGCACAACTTTTTTTTAACACTCTCCTGTACAGTGTGCAGTGTTTAAATATGTTCTCCTTTGTTTATTTTTTTATGATTTTATCTATTTTTAGGAAGGTGGGGAAAGAAAGAGAAGCATCAATGTGTGGTGCCCCTTACTGGGGACCTGGCCTGCAACCCAGGCATGTGCCCTGACTGGGAATGGAACCAGGGACCCCTTGCTTCTCAGGATGGCACTCAATCCATTGAGCCACACCAGCCAGGGCTTCCCCCCCACTCCGCCCCCGAAAGATTTTTACTTATTTACTTTTAGAGAGAGGGAAAGGTAAGGAGGGGTAGGGAAGAGATACATCGATGTGTGAGAGAGATATTAATCGGTTGCCTCTTGCACACCCACAGCCTGGGACCTGGCCTGCAACCCAAGCATGTGCCCTGACTGGGAATCTAACCAACGACCTTTCTGTTCTCCAGCAGTGCTCAATCCACTGAGCACACCAGCCATGCGAAAATGCTTCTTTTCCTTCAGAGTTTTGGGAGAAATTAAGAAGGATTAGTATTAATCATTCTTTACATTTCATAGAATTTACTAGTGAATTTACCTTTTCTTATTGGAATATTTTTTGATACTGATTTAATTTCCATACTAGTCAGATTTTCTGTGTCTTCATAATTCAGTGTTGATCAGTTGTATGTCTTCTGGGGTATCTGATTTTGTGGCCTGATTTCATGGTAGTCTTCTGGGATCCTCTGTCTCTGTGCTATCAGTTGTAGTGTCTTCTTTTATTTCTGAGTTAATTTATTTGCATCTTCCTTCCAGTCTTAAGTTAACCTAGCTAAAGATTTGTCAATTGACCAAAGTGTCGCAGGTTCGATTCCCAGTCAGGGTACATGCCTGGGTTGCATGCCATGACCCCCAGCAACCACATATTGATATTTCTCTCTCTCTCCCTTTCTTCCCTGTCTAAAAATAAATAAATAAAATATTTTAAAAATTATTTAAAAAAAAAAGATTTGTCAATTGAATTAATGTGTTGGAAAAAAACACCTCTTAGACTTGTTGGTGTTGTTGTTTTTCTACTTTTTATTTTATTTATTTTTTCTCTGATCTTTGTTCTTTCTCTTTGTTATGCTCTTCTTTTATTAGTTCCTCAGGATTTAAGTTTAGGTTACTAAGTTTAAGTTTAGGTTGTTTGGAATCTTTCTGTTTTCTTAACAGTGGCATTTATAGCTCTGAATGCTCCTCTTAGAATAACTTTTGCACATTCCATATATTTTCACTTGTCTTACATTTAAAATTTTTTTTTCTTTGTTTGATGGGGAGTATGTTATTTAATGTCCACATATTTGTGGATTTTTCAACTCTCTTTCTGTTACTGATTACTGGTTTTATCCATTGTTTTAGCAAAAGGTACTTGATATGATTTTAGTCTTCTGAAATTTGTTAAGCCTTTATTTTTTTATTTTTTTAAGTTGTTGTTCAAGTGCGGTTTTCTGCCTTTTACTCCCTGTTAAGTCCTTTTTTGATGTAACATAAGATTAGTCTGAGAGAATTTTCTGTGTGTACTTGAGAAGAATGTATATTGTGCTATAATAGGATGAAATGTTCTCTATATGCCAGTTAGATCTGTTTGGACTAAAGTGTGAGTCAATTCAAATACACCTTTATTCAACTTTTGTCTGGTTATCTCCTCATTGTTGAAAGGGGGATGTTGACGTTTTTTACTAATAATCTGTTGTTGTTTTCCTGTATTCAGATATAGTAGTATTTGCTTAATACTTACTTCAGATCTTCTGATATGTGTTGCATATATACATACAGTTGTTACATGCTTTTGATGAAGTTACTCCATTTTCATTATGTAATGACCTATTTTATATCTTGTGATAGTTTTTTACATGGAGTCTATTTGGTATAGCTAACACTGCTCTCTTTTGATTTTCATTTGTGTGTCATATCTTTCAATCCCTCACTTTCAGCCAATGTGTGTTCTTACCGCTGAAGTTACTCTCTGGTAGGCAGGATATACTTAGGTCTTATTTGTTTGTTTGTTTGTTTGCTTAATATTTATTTTAGCTAGTGTCTTTTGATTGGAGAATTTTATTAGGATCTACTATTACCATCTTGTTTATTATCTGACTGCTTGTAGTTTCTTTTTTCCTTTCTTCTTTTTCTTTGTAATTTGATGATATATGGTGGTACGCTTTTATTTCTTTGTCTTTATTTTTTGTCTATCAACTATACCTTTTTGCTTTGTGGTTTCCAGAGGCTTATCTAAAACTTCTTACAGTTAAAACATTCTACTTTAAGCTGATAATGACTTCAATTGCATATAAAACCAATACTCTTACTCCCTCCACACACATACACATTTTATGTTTTTGATGTTACAATTTGATAACCATTACCAAATTGGAATATTCTGAATTTGACTCAATACTTACCTTTACCAGACTATTTTATATTTACATGTTGCTAATTTGTGTACTTTTCTTTGTACTTGAACTACTTGCTGGAGCATTTCTATTTTTTTATTATCACTTTTATTTTGTTTTATTTTATTTTAATTGTTGTTCAAGTAGTTTTCTGTCTTTTACTTCCATCCCAGCCCACCCCACCAGCCCTCCCCACTTCCTCCCATTCATGCACGCATCCCTTGCCCCCCCCTCCCCCCCAGTTTTTGTCTATGTATCCTTTATACTTTTTCCTATAAACCTTTCCCCTTCTCCCCTGGAGCATTTCTTATAGGGTAGGGCAAGTAGTGATAAAGTCCCTCAGCTTTTCTTTGGAAAAGTGTCTCTTCGTTTCTGAAGGAGAGCTTTGCTAGTAAAGTATCTTGGCTTGCAGATTTGTGGGAGAAACAGCAATTGGTTGCCTCATGTATAGCCCCACTGGGGACCTGGCCCACAAACCAGGCACTGGAACCAAACCAGCACATTTCAGTTCACAGGCCAGTGCTCAATCCACTGAGCCACATAAGCCAAGCCATTGGTTGTTTCTTGTATGTGCCCTGGCCTGGGATCAAACTCACATCATTGGCTCATGTGGATGATGCCCTAATCATCTGAGCTACAAGGCCAGAGCTCCTATTCCCGCTTTGACACTTTGCTGACCTGTCATTTCTACTACTCATCTCTTCCATTGTGGTTTCCAGCTCAGTTGATCCCACATTTCACCCACTCTCTCATCCCTCTTTCTGTAGTATTCTTGAACATTGACGCCTAGGTGGTGTGCTCTGAGTTGTTCCCAAATCTATATATTGACCTTGTACAGCAGCTAATATCTTGCATTTGGATAGTAATGGACTTACATGCATGCTTTTACCCAGCCTAATGTCAGCAGCAGAGGAGGATGTGCAGGAAGCTGTTGGCAGAGGAAATGCACTGTAAGCCCTGCCTCACTTCTGTGTGTCATGCCTGTCTAGTAGCCTTCCCCTGGAGGGGTTTCCATTATATTGTGACTTACAAGCCCAGTAACATGACACAGTGAGCCAGTTGTTCAGCTGAACATCCTTGTTTTGAAAAGGATTTTATCTATTCATGCCTACATGTGACGTGAGAATATGTGTCATGGGGTTCTCTACTTTCTGTAGTCAACAGGTACTTCTCCAGCATTTATTTTTATTTGTTTGTTTGTTTGTTTTTGTTCAGGTTGCTGCTGTGGAGCAGAGGGTGTGGAGGCACCCACTGAACTGAACATTTTTGCCAGAGCGCCCCAGGAAAGGAATGCCAGGGCAGCTTCATCTTCCCAGAAGAGCCACCCCTGTGAGGGTTGTGCGACAGTCTTGAGAGACATTTTCAGCTTGTTTGAGCACCATGGAACACAGCAGAGCCCGCCAGTGCTGAGGTGTGGGGCATGTGCAAAACAATTTCATTTCAGTGCAAAGTGTCATCAGTACAAGGAGCAGCTTATAGGACAGAAACCCTTCAAAAGTAGTGTGGACAGGACCTCATTTGTGCAGAGGAAGCCCTTTACCTGTGGCAAGGTTCAGAAGGACTTCCTGGCTAGCTCAGGTCCTCAGCAGCAACAGGACACCCATAAAGCACAGGAGCCAAACAAAGGCACTCAATGGGAAACAACATTACAAAGCAGAAAAAGTCATTACACTTTGGGAGATGGCAAGGAAGCCTTTAAGCCCCAACACATACTTATTCAGGACCAGGCTGTCCATACTGGCAGACAGTGTTTTGTGTGCAGTGAATGTGGAAAAACATTCAGGTACAAATCCTCGTTTGTCATGCACTGCAGAGGCCACACTGGAAAAAGCTTCCCTATGAATAGTGAAAGTGGAAAATCCTTTAGTGAAGCCTCAACCCTCCATGAGCATCAAAAAATTCATACTGGAGCAAGGCAATACAAGTGCAGCAAATGTGGAAAATCCTTAAGCCTCACATCTGTCCTCATTCATCCCAAAGGACAGGAAACTGCAGAAAACAATTACATGTGTACTGAATGTACTCAGTCATTTAGTGATAGCTCAGCATTTAATCAATCTCAGAGAGTTCACACTGGAGAAGAAACTTATGAATGCAACGAATGTGGAAAATCTTATAACAATAGGCGGAAACTGGTTCGACACCAGAAATCTCACAGAACAGAAAGGCCTTATGGGTGTAGCAAGTGTGGGAAATCTTTTACTGAAAGGGGGAAACTTGGTCGACACCAGAAATGTCACATAGAAGAAAGGCCTTATGGGTGTAGTGAGTGTGGGAAATCTTTTACTGAGAGGGGGAAACTTGTTCGACACCAGAAAATTCACACAGGAGAAAGGCCTCATATGTGTAGTATATGTGGGAAATCTTTTTATCGTCGCTGCAACCTTACGTATCATGAGCGAAGCCACCGAGGAGAAAAGCCTTACAAGTGTGAATGTGGGAAGTGTTTTACCACTGGCTCTGCCCTCTATTACCATCGGAGAGTTCACACAGGAGAAAGGCCTTATGAATGTACTGAATGTGGGAAAACTTTTACCTGGATCAATGCCCTTCAGTGTCATCAGAGAGTTCACACAGGAGAAAAACCTTATGTGTGCAATGAATGTGGGAAATCTTTTCCCAGGATTTATAACTTTCGTTGTCATCAGAGACTTCACACTGGAGAAAGGCCTTATGAATGCAGTGAATGTGGGAAGTCTTTTGCCTGGATGAAAAGTCTGCATTATCATCAGAGAGTTCACATAGGAAAAAGGCCTAGTGAGTGCAGTGAATGTGGGAAATCTTCTACCTCGAACAAAAGCTTTTGTTATCATCAGAAAGCTAATACAAGAGAAAGGCCTTATGTGTGCAGTGAGTGTGGGAAATCTTTTACCCAGAACCATAGCCTTCGCTGTCATCAAAGAATTCACACAGGGAAACGGCCTTATGAATGCGGTGAATGTGGAAAGTCCTTTACCTCCCCCCAATGCCTTCGTAATCATCAGAGAGTGCACACAGGAGAAAGGCCTTATGAGTGCAGTGAATGTGGGAAATCTTTTGCCCATCGCAACACTCTCTCTTATCATCAGAGAATTCATACAGGAACAAAGCCTTACAAATGCAGTGAGTGTGGAAAATGTTTTGCCTCTAGTTCCACCCTCCGTAGCCATGAGAGAGTTCACACAGGAGAAAGGCCTTATAAATGCAGTGAATGTGAAAAATCTTTTACCGCGAGCTCTGCCCTCCGTTATCATCAGCGAGGTCACACAGGAGAAAGGCCTTATGAGTGCAGCAAATGTGGAAAGTCATTTAAGGATAGTTCTCAACTCAGTCTACACTGTAGACGTCATACTGGGGAAAGGCCTTATGAGTGCAATGAATGTGGGAAATCTTTTATCAGTAATTCTAAACTTCATGATCATCAGAGACTTCACACAGGAGAATGGCCTTATGAGTGCAGTAAATGTAAGAAATTTTTTATCAGTAGGTCTAAACTTCATTATCATCAGAGAGTTCACACTGGAGAAAGGCCATATAAGTGCAGTGAATGTGGGAAATCTTTCATTAGTAATTCTAAACTTCATAATCATCTGAGAATTCACACCAGAGAAAAGCCTTAAGTGTGCTGGCAATGTGCAATTTTCTGTTCATTGTAACAGTCTGGAGGAAATTCTTTGAAGAGACTTTTGAATTGAAACATCCATGTGAATATGCACAGTGTGGAAATTGCCTGTCATTTTCACTTATATGGGAAGTGTTTGTAAATATGTCACACTTTCTGACTTGCCCAAGGCTCCTTCTAGGTTTATTGTGTAACTGCATTCTGTGATTCTAGTCCTTTCACCTTGACCACAGTGCAGGTCCACAAAGTTTGCATCATTCAACAGCCTAATGTGCTCAGGGAAGCTGAACTCTGGTCTCACGAGTGTTCTAGCAAACTAGAAATGACTGGAGCCCTCAGGAAGACAGCTTTCTCTTTACTAGTAATTTGGATATGGACTAGGTCCTCTGTTGATCCCGAGAATGTGATGAGGTCTGCACTCAAGCTTGCATAGAAATGTCTACCTGTTCCAGAGATGTGTTCATCTCACATGATGTTTTCATGAGATTTTCCAGCTTATGAACTTGGTACATGCCTTCTGCACATTGCTTTGGCTTGCACTAATTCAAGCCTTATTTTTACTTTTGAGGATCTTACTTACTTGATTTTAAAGAGGGAGAAAAGAGGGAGAGAGTGTTAATGTGAGAGGGAAACATTGATCAGTTGCCTCTTGCACACACCTGAATGGTGGGACTGAACCCACAACTTAGGCATGTGCCCTGACTGGGAATAGAACATACCACCTTTTGCTTTGTGGGACAACACCTAACCAACTGAGCCACACTGGTCATGACCAGGCCTTAATGTTTAAGTTTTTCTTTAGTTTTGGTTATTCTTTGTATGGGGTAGTTTATAAACTGATTCAGGCTCTAAAACCGTGAAGAGCTGAGCAAATTTTTTATGGTCTCAAATTTTCTCTGGGTTTTGAGGGACTGACTGTATGATGGCAGAAAATAACTGGCTAGTTTTGACCAAATTTGCATGGCTATCCACAGGCTTCTAGAAAGGACTAAAGGCTTTCTGGTTTTTGTTTAGATGCCATGAGTTTTAGGAGTCTTTGAGATGATCCAGAGGGGAAGGGAGGTGTGAGAACCTGCGGTACTTACAAGAGTAGCCTGTTTTTTTTCCCTTACACACAGAAGATGTCACAGATTGTACTAGCACAGTTGAGGGTCTATCTTTTCTCAGGTCTAGAGAAAGTCACGTGCCCTGGCTGGCGTCCACTACTCATTGGGCTTGTAGAGTCACCAGTTGAAAAACTGGGTCCATGGAAAACCATAGTTAGTGCAGAAACACTAATAGTGGCCTATTAGGGATTGGAGGAGACTGCAGCCAGCTGGATAGAACTTGCCTCATCCAAAGATGCACCCGAAATTGTTTCTATGACCCCGATTGCATGATGAGTGTACACAGATCTGAGGAACGCCAGACATCATTATCTTGTGTAGCTGACATCACTGTGAGAAAAACAAAAATTATCAAGAGGTTTTGTGGATTCCCATAGCCACTCAGTGATGTCTGCCTCAAAGCCATTACTACACACCAGGAAAGGAGAAGAGATGGGTGGAGGGACCTGTACTCCAGGGTTATGATTCTTGACGCAGGCAGCATTCTTTTGGACTAATGTACAGATGTTCATTACTCACCACATATGATGCCATCGAGGCAGTACTGAGCCCCAGAGGGCCTCAGGAAAGATGGTAGAGTCAATGTAGAGTGGTCAAGCCTATTTTCCAAAACAAGTATAATACAAAGTTTGTTGTTGTAATCTTGAGCCATTTTTTAAATTTCACTACCAATTTACATGCACTACCTGCATCTATATAAGGTATACAATTTGATAAATTTTGACGTAGGTATGAACTTAGGAAACCATTATTGTAGTCTTGATAGTGACCACATCTGTCTTTCCTTGCTCACCAGCTGCCACTGAGGCCAGGCAGACATCGCTAGGACAGAAGAGCTCCTGGTGTCAATATAGAGTTTTATAGCATATTTTCTGAAGAGTGTGAAGCCTAGGTTTTTCTTTTTGACTGTTTTTATCATTTAGTAAGGAATAAGTGACAGGCAATAAAATATATTAAAGTTTACATTTTTGTTAAGTATTTCTGTATATAACAACCTGTGAACAGGCCATCCCCATGAGAGTGAGTCTCTGTCACTTGCACATGTGCCCTTGTGTTTTTTCTCTGTAATCCCTCCTCCTAGCCTTCCCTGACATCACAGCAACCATTGATTTGCTCTTTGTATAGATTGGATTGCATTTTCTAGACTTTTTTATGGTTGTAATTAAAAAGTGTTTGTTGTTTCTCCCTCCATTCCCTCATGCCTATTTTTTGAGACACTTGTCTTATTTCTGAGTAATATTTCGTTTTCTGGATATATACCACTATCCATTCATCTGTTCAGGGCAATTGCCAATAAAGCTGATGTGGACTTTTTTATTTTACAATTAAAAATGTTTATTGATTTTTAGCCCTGGCTGGTGTAGCTCAGTGGATTAAGTGCGGGCTGCGAACCAAAGTGTCGCCAGTTCGATTCCCAGTCAGAGTACATGCCTGGGTTGCACACCATGACCCCCAGCAACCACACATTGATGTTTCTCTCTCTCTCTCTTCCTCCCTTCCCTATCTAAGAAATAAATAAATAAAATCTTTTAAAAAATGTTTGTTGATTTTAGAGAGAGACAAAGACATCAGTTGGTTGTCCGTTATATGCACCGCGACTGGCGCTTGAACTGGCACATCCCTGCCAGCAATTCACATGATCAGTCTTTAATGTTAGCCCTTTTAGTATATGTGTTGTGCTATCTTGGTGTGGTTTTAATCACACTTGCCTAGGGATTAGTGATTTTGAGCTTTTTTCCTTTAAATCTTCACCCAGGTTTATGTTTGTTGATTTTAGATCAGAAAGGAGAAAGAGAAACATCAATTGCTTGCCTCCCTTATATGCCCCAACCTGGGATCAAGCCCACAACCTAGGTATATGCCCAGACTGGGAATCCTGCATGCATCTTTTTGTTGTAGAGGATGATGCTCCAATTAACTGAGCTCTTTTTCATGTGTTTAGTTGCCACCTGTATATCTTCAGCACAAAAGAGTAGATGGGCTTGGGGCTGAGAAGTTGCGTGTTAGAAAGAGGGGAAGGGAGGGAGAGAAACATCAATGTGTGGTTGCCTCTGGTGTGCCCCCTATTGTGGACCTGGCTCACAACCCAGGCATGTGCATGGGAATCAAACTGGTCACCCTTTGGTTCCCAAGCCGGCACTCAGTCCACTGAGCCACACCAGCCAGGGTTCAACCAGACTTTTACAAATGAGGCAACTCCTTGCACTACAGGCAATCCAATCATTTTCTTGCTTTGCTTTCCTCTGCTCAACAAAAGCCTTTCCTCGAGTCTGGTTTGGTGCTGCCTGATTGGAATTGGCATTTCCTCTAAGAAATCCTTCAAAGTTTATATTTCAAGAGGACAGATCTCGCCCTCCCCACTCTTGCTTCTAGAAAAAAAAAACCAACCCTACAAGGTTCATCCTTGTCAATGATGTTCTTAGAAAAGAGGCCTTCCTGACCTCTGTGCCCTCCCTTACACCCCACACCCTGTTGCTGAGTTGGTGCCTGAAGTTTGGTCTCTCCCATCAGGTATCTGATGGTGACTGTTGAGCAAATACAAAAATCTTTTCTTGGCCCAGAAATCCTCTCTACAAGAGTAGTAGAGACAGAAACAGTTTTATTATTAATCATTAAACCACAGTTTATTGTGCATCGCAAGCAATCCCCTAAGAAAATTGCAAAGACAGACCAACCTCATTCCTCAGTATAGGTGCAACCAGAGGGCAACCAAGTCCCTGCCCTGCTGCCTGCCACCACTCAGCCAAAATGCAGAGACAGGGATTGGATTGCAATTGCACTTTTATTAATGACAGAGGCCAGCAGTCTGAGAAGGTGGTGGATAAAAACGCTACCATCTACTTGCCCTTGAGCTTTCAGAAGCAAGTTTACATAGGGGAAATGTAAGAATTTGGGAGGCAGAAATTCCAAAGAGAGGAGCCACAACCCACAGTTTCTCCTGGGAGAAAGGGGAGGAGAAACTCAAGCTTGCTCCCTTGGTTGAGGTGTTAGCTCACCATTTGCATTACCATCCTCTTGTCAGGACACCTGTGGTTCATGATCAGGGAGCCTATATATCCTCTCCTTAGGAAGGAGCGATATAAACCATTGGCTCTCCCGTGTTCTCATGTCTTCGGTTAGGGGAGATTAGGTGTGAGGATTCACCAGCTGGCTGTAAATTGCTCAAGCTGTTTGCACTTGTTTAATTTTCTTGTCTCAGTTTCCCCATTTCACTTGCCTTCAATTGAATGCTAATCCTCCAGGGCTCAGAAGAGACACCAGGCCCTGGTGACAGGGATGTCTGCTCACCACTCATGGTCCCCTAATGACTGTGTTCAGCCCTCAGCAACAGGCAGTGGGGACACACAGATCTCATCCAAGCTGTGGGCCATACCATGCAGGGCCCCATCCCTCCTGCAGAACAATTCCCCCCACCCCCACCTGGGGTCTCCCAGACTGTACCTGCTAGACACAGCAGAGGTGGGCTCCTGCTTTAACTGGCCCCACCCCAGGGCCTTGGGGCCATCAACTCACACAACCTACACGTGTATACAACACTCTGTACACCCTACCTTCTAACACTTTGGGTTCCCACAGTCCCACCCCCACAGCTCTGCTACCACCCTGCCCTGCTTCATAGGCAACTCCACTCACCCAGTCGGCGACTCACAGCACCCAAAGTGCTCGAGAGACTCAAACACCATCCAGCACAATGCCATCCTCTACCTCTGATGGCTCTCACAGCCCGGGAAAGCCCAGTGAGGCGCTGCAGTCCTCCCTGCCAGCCTCTGACCTTCACTTCATTATTAGGCACCCAGAAAGCCATGTCAATTTCAATTATGAATAACCCCGGTCCCTTTTGCACTGTACTTGCTGTCCCCTCAGTAGCCAGAACCCTGCTGTGTCCACTCGGCCTCCCTCATGTCTCGGATCACTCTGGGGCTGGGGTGGAGGAGGACCCTGCTCCTGGGATGCTGGGCTTGGTGGAGGGAGAGAGGACGTCCCGGGGGATGCGAGTTCACTTCAGCCAGTAGCGTCAGCACAGCTCAGTAGCAGAGTTGAGGGTAATGGGCATTTCTTAGGGAAGTTAGGTGTCCAGAACACCCCTGATGACATCTATGCCATCGGTGCTCTCCGACCACCTTCCTGAACAACACAGTCCATATAGAAGGCACCAGCTGGCATGTATGGACCCTTCAGAAAGCCAACTTCTTTCCCTTTGTTGTCAGGCCTCACTGCTATCAGGGGGATGTCTTGGATTAATGCTGAGTTTCTAAAGCCTTTTTAAGTGTCACTAGTTTTTAATTTCAGCAGATGGAGCAGCCCTGAATAAGCGTCTTGAACTCTCTGGTACTTAGAGGATGATTTTGAGGTAATTGTATGTTCATGTCACCTCTCTCTTGTGTCATGTCAAAGTGATTTTCCCAGCTAAACAACTGATAGAAATACACTATTTAGGACACAAGTGATATAAGAAACACTAAATGTAGGTCATTGTTTTCTAGATATTTTATTGTATTGTTTTTAAATGTCTTGCTGATTATGATATTACAGTTGTCCCATTTTCCCCATTTATTCCCCTCCACCCTGCACACCCCCTCCCACCCACATTCCCTCCTTTAGTTCATATCCATGGTTCATGCATATCATTCTTTGGCTTCTACATTTTCCATACTATTCTTAACCTCCCCCTGTCTATTTTCTCCCTACCATTTATGCTACTTATTCCCTATACCTTTACCCCCTCTCCTCCTCCCACTCCCCCACTCATAACCCTCCATGTTATCTCCATTTCTGTGGATCTGTTCCTGTTCTAGTGGTTTGCTTATTTTTGTTGTTGTTGTTATTGTTTTTGGTGTGGTTGTTAATACCTGTGAGCTTGTTGTCATTTTACTGTTCATATGTTTGATGTTCTTCCTCTTAGATAAGTCCCTTTAACATTTCCTATAATAAGGGCTATGTGATGATGAACTCCTTTAACTTGACCTTATCTGGGAAGCACTTTATCTGCCCTTCCATTCTAAATGATAGCTTTGCTGGATACAGTAATCTTGGATGTAGGTCCTTGCCTTTCATGACTTCAAATACTTCTTTCCAACCCCTTCTTGCCTGCAAGGTTTTGTGGGGTTTTGTTTTTGCTTTTGTTTTTGTTTTTGTTTTTTCGAGAAATCAGGTGACAGTCTTATGGGCACTACTTTGTAGGTAACTGTCTCCTTTTCTCTTGCTGCTTTTAAGATTCTCCTTATCTTTAGTCTTGGGTAATGTAATTATGATGTGCGTTTGTGTGTTCCTCCTTGGGTCCAACTTCTTTGGGACTCTCTGAGCTTCCTGGACTTCCTGGAATTCTATTTCCTTTGCCAGATTGGGGAAGTTCTCCTTCATTATTTTTTCAAATAAATTTTCAATTTCTTGGTCTTCCTCTTTTCCTTCTGGCACCCCTATGATTTGGATGTTGGACCATTTAAAGATGTCCTCGAGGTTCCTAGGTCTCTCTCCTCATTGAATTCTTGTTTCTTCATTCTGTTCTGGTTGAACATTTCTTTCTTCCTTCTGGTCCACACTGTTGATTTGAGTGCCAGTTTCTTTCCCGTCACCATTGGTTCCCTGTACATTTTCCTTTATTTCACTTAGCATAGCCTTCATTTTTCCCATCTAATTTGTGACCATATTCCACCACATCTGTGAGCATCCCGATTACCCATGTTTTGAACTGTGTATTTGATAGGTTGGCAATGTCTTCATAGCTTAGTTGTATTTGTTCTGGAGCTTTGATCTGTTCTTTCATTTGGACCTTTTTTTTTTTTTTTGTCTCTACACCTGTAACATAGTAAGGGGCAGAGCCTTAGGTGTTCGCCACAGTGGGGCAACCCATGTCTGTGTGTTGTGACGCTGTATGGCAGGAAAGGGTCCGAGAGGGAACAGTGCTGCTTGCTCCATACTCTGCCAGTTTTCAGTCACTCCTCCCGTTATCCCACAATCAAATTGGGCCCTTCTGGTTTTGAATCCCAGGTTGGTGGGTTCATGCACATTGTAAGACCCTATAGGTCTCTCCAATGAACTCTCCTGTGAGTCTGGGAGTTTCTCCTGCTGCCTCCTCAACACCCACATGTGTTTTCAGTAAGAGGTGTGGGGCTATATTTCAGTGCACTGGAACCCTGGGTTTCGAGGTCTGTCTCACTCTCCAGTTGTTCCTCCCGGTTTATCTGCACACAAATGTCAGACTGCCCAGTCTGCCAGCCAGCTGCTGCCTTTCTGTGAGTCCTCTACACCCAGCTCCCTGTCTCTGCCCCTCCTACTGGTCTGGATGAATATTGCTTCTTTAAGTTTTTGGTTGTTGGACCTCCATACAGTTTGATTTTCTGTCAGTTCTGGGTTTTTTTGTTTTTATATTTGCTGTTATCCTTCTTTTGGTTGTGCATGAAGGTACAGTGTGTTTCCCTATGCCTCCATCTTGGCCAGAAATTCCAAAATTTTTAAATACAGGTCATTTTACAGAGAATAATAACTATGCTCACAGCTCATTTCCCCTAAGCACAGACTGGGTATCAGATTAGTTACAAGCACAGTTCAAACTCCACACATTGAATTATAATATGGCCACCATCCTTAAGTTTGGAGATTCTTTACAGGCCTGATTATCTTGCTATTAGTATTATACAATATTTTATTGGCATGTTTTTAAAGAATGTCATGGTTTCACTAAATCCATAAATTTTAACAACTACCTTCATGAAAGACGTGATAGTAAAACATACTCCATTTGTAACTTCCACTTTGAAAATGTCAAATATGCACATCCAAGAATTGTTGTAAAGACACTAAGGTTCACTCAGACACTAAATAAAACTCTTTATCTTCATGCTCTTCATTTCATGGGGAACAAAGTTTTCAGAGTGAACATCAGGATGCCCAGTGTATTCACTCTCTGATCAGACCAAGAACATTGCAGACAGGGGTAGAGGACACATGGAGGGGGAGATATTATGCAGCCCTAAAGGAAGTGGATGAGGTGCACCATGCCCATTAGTTCCTCACAACATATTCCACCTGGCTCTCTATTTTGTTCAAACTCCAAAAAAAAAAAAATGTTTTTGTCCATTACCTTTATTACTGAATATTCTCCATATGGTTTTACTTTTTAAAAGATTGTGACATGTACCTGGGAATATGGTTATGGAGCAAATTTAAGTTTGATGTCAACATGCTGCCATTTTTGCATCCATGAAGGTTTGGAAAGTGGGCATCTGAACCTGAGATAATGGTTTGGGATTCAACCATGTAATGTCCTCGCTGGGAAATAATGAACATTGCTCTTGTAACTGCAATGACTGTGTTTCCATGGAGACCAGAGATTATTTCTGGAAGTGGTATGCTGTGAACAAACTACAGAAAGGTATTAATGTTGGTGGAAAGAACAACAACAAGAAAATTATGTTTCTTGGAAAATGTTTTTAAAGAATTATGTTTCTGGAACAGGTTGAAAATACAATATCAGGTATTAGACTAAGTTTTGTAGCATGAGTGTGATGCCATTTGTGCCTGTGGTTTTCTTTTTATTATTACTTATTGATTCTTGGGAGAAAGAGAATCATCGATTTGTTGTTCCACTTATTTATGCATCCATTGACTGATTCTTTTATTTGCCCTGACTGGGGACTGAACCTGCAATTGTGGCATATTAGGCTCATGTTCCAGCCAACTATGTAATCAGCCAGGGCTGACCAGTAGTTTTCTGTTTAGAAACATTTTGCTGTGTCCTGGCTGGATAGCTCACTTGGATGTATCATTGTTTCCTATATCAATAGGTTGGGCATTTGGTCCCCAGTCAGGGTACTTACCTTCGTTGCAAGTTTGATCCTCAGTCAAGGCACATCCGGGAAGCAACTGATTGATATTTCTTTCTCTCCAATCCTCTCTCTCTAAGAAATTAATAAAATTATCCTTGTGTGAAGGTTTTTCAAATAACAAATAAAATAAAATACCCTGTGGTTCTGAAGGACAGATAACACCTGCACTTGCAATTGGTATCTGATGGAGGGTGGGCGTGGGGTGTGCGACCGTGTTGTGGGACTGAGCCCTGAACATATCTTGAGGTAGATAGATAGTGTCACAATTGAGTTTTTGGTGCAATTAACAACAAGCAAAGACCTTCTCTCCAGGTACCAGCAGTGCTTTCAAGGATCCTCCCAGTGCAAACATCCTAGTTGCTCAGGTTGGAGAACTCCCTTCCCTGTGGCATATAGAGCTCTGGAAACTACACTACCCATAAAATCCTGTGGTGAGTTGGGGCAATTACAGATGAGGATGAAATTTCCGTGAGATTCACTCCATTGGGGCGGGACTTCCGGGGCTCTCTTACTGGTGGCCATTATGAGGGTGTGAGGCGAGGTGTACCGGCTGTGGACCGGTACACCTTTCCCGCGCCCTGTCCTCTGCGAACTCTCCCGCCAATCTCCACGCACACAGTCTGATGGCAGCGGCCAAGCTGAGACGTCCTGCTGAGGTGAGTGCACGCCTCCCGTGACCAGCTCCCTCACTACACTTAGCCCTGCAGCTCAGGTGTGAGTCCGGTCCTGCAGCCCAGGACCCGTTGGCCAGTGTTTAGGTGGCGGAATACACGCCTCCTGCCGGTGCTGCTATTTGGTCAGAAAGAGCAGGGTGCGGGATGAGTTTTTTCTTGCTATGCTCCACATGAGGGTGCTGCGCACAGAAATACAAGTGAAGGATGGAGGTGGTGACGGTAACCATGTGGCAGGTGAAGAAAGCTATGGGACGAGTGGACGTGATGGTTCTGGAAGCAGGGAAGTAACTGAGGTGAGGTGTCACTGAGGGCAAAGCTTCTGCTTGTTTGCTAGTGGAACAGGGTGCAGCCAAGATGGGGAGCCCCAAATAGGGATTTGGAATGGGGTCCAGACCTCAAGGTGTTCGGGAAATATTAGGATGTGCTCGCTGCCCCCACACACAGGTGAGGGTTGGGGGAAGGGACAAATGGAGCAGGGCCATTGAGAGCTGTTTTCATAACAACAGCCTTGCAGCTAACCTCTGGTGTGGTCATTTAACATATGTGTAATTGGTTACATAGATATATTAAATAGCTGTGATGGTGCTCTGAGCTGGAAGGGAATGAGAGTACTTGTGTAACTGATTGTAGGAGGAGTCGAAAATGGGGCTGCAGAGGAGTATTGGCGCGGGGATTTAAACCCAGACAAGGCAGCCAGTAGAGGGAGAACCACGTGGCTTTGGCAGAGTGGTGACTCCCCCAGCCATTGTGCAGAGAGGACCACACAGCTGGGGCATGGAGAGAGTACCACTACGCTTTGCCAGAGTGGGGACCCCAGCAGCGTTAGAAGGGGGAACCGCCACCAGGCTTTAGCAGAGATCTTGGGGACACGGCTGACCGTGCAGGGAACCGAGGGAGGTCTACTAGCTGAGATGGATTACTGGGAAGAAGTGGGGAGCCACAGACTTCTATTTCTTTTCCTGAGATATGGTACCCCAGACTGGGCAAACGGGGAAAGAAAGGACTGTGTGTGTTTGTGGGTGTTTTAAGGGACTTTGGGATTTTGATGAAGACATTAGGTCACTACTTTAAGTTTGTATAGCATTAAATAGACATTTCTTTTCCTCTTCACGAATCTCTGGCATTGAGAGACATCTCTCCTCTGGTGGCAGGCATAACGAACCTGGGGGTTCCTTTCAGGTAACAGCATATTGTCCGAGGCCTCCTTTGTTGTTCTGTAACACTAGGGCAGGATCCACCGCATGTGTGTGCTGTGCTGTGAAAGGGTCTAGTGTCTCAGTCTTGCTGGTGGCTAAGGTCTGGGACAAATGTGTTCACTTTTGAGTGTCACTGGGCCTGGTATGGAGACATCTTCATGGAGACCATAGAGAATTTCTCCCATAACGTAAATGCTGCCGTGAATGGGATCAAAACTGGGGTTTTAATGAAGGGGAACCGGAAAAACTCGTGTCAGCAAAAGAGACGTTCAAACCCGTGTAGAATCGTTGGTGAGTTTGTTTGCGACAAACTAATGACAATCGCTGGGAAGCAGAAATCTCCATGGGTTAAGAAATGCCCCGGAGAGCAGCAGTTTCGCGCCTCATTTAATACATTCGACTCAGAGGAGGAGACTTGAGGGATGAAGTCCACTGATATTAGATTAAGGAGGAAGGAGAAAGCAAAGCTGGAGGGAAACCCCTGGAATTGGAAGAAAGGTAAAATGATAGACACTTCTTTTACATCCTTGGGTACAGGATAGTTAACAGTCAACAATTAAAAAGATAAGAGCGGGTTGTGAACCAAAGGGCCCATTCTGTTTCCAGTCAGGGTACATGCCTGGGTTTCAGGCCTGGTCCCCAGTGCCAGGTGGGTGAGAGACAACCACACATTGATATTTCTCTCCCTCTCTTCTCCTTCTCTTTCCTTCTCTCTAAAAATGAATGAATAAAATCTTGAAAAAAAAAAAAAAGAAAACGAGAACAATGAGGGGATTTGTGGTCTCTGCTTGTGTCCAAGGGGTTTGGGGAAAAGGAAGTTACCTTGACATTCCAGAGGTCTGCTATAAATGCAAAAGACAATAGTTAAGGTAAAGGTCAATTGACCTTTGTTAGGGAAGAATACTGGCCTAGAACATGGCTACCTTCCATGAACTGCTTAGTTAATAAGTTTTAATTTCAGACCATCTTTGTGGTTACTTTAGGCCTCTGAGTTTGTAAGGCTACCTCACAGGCCTCCCCCAAGCTTGTCAGGTTGATTTGTGGCCCCTTTTCTTCCACACCTGTGCTTGCGCTGTCTGTCACCACCTGACCCACTAAGTAGAGACAGAGATTGAAACTTTTTGATGTTTTATTCAGATGGCTGGCTAATTGAAAAGACAGAGGGTAAGTGCACTAAAAGACCATCTTACATTTTTGCTCAAGCCAGCCTTTTGATAAGGAGGAAAAAAAATGTAGATAAGGGATTTGGAATTCAGGGGGAAAAGTATAGGTAAGGGATTTGGAATTCAGAAAAAAGGTTATCAGGTAGAAGCTGCTGTCCTGCAATTTCCCTGGCCTCTTCTCATGGTTGACTTGTGATTCTTTATCTATATCCTGGACAGTGGGATGCCTCTCCCTGGAACACAGTGGCTCAGATACCTTCTCGATTGTGCAGTCCTCCTGGTGTTACAGAGCTGGCCAAAACTGCAAGCCAGCAAACAATGACTTGTCTATGTAGCGCCTTGGTAACACAGCCACCAATTAATGCTGGAAGGAGTAGATTTTTATTTACAATATTTCAACCTTGGGGGAGCTCAGAGATCCTTAGCTTGGAGTCCTCCTTTCCCACAAGACCCAGTACTTCACAAGCTCCCCACCAGGCTACTGGCCAAAAGCCCCAAAAGTTTCCCATGTTCTTATTTTAAGCCCCGTCCGCAGTTTTCATTGTCTTTGCATTAAGGTCGCCATTCTTACACAGCAGCTCTTTCCTTCAGGATGTGGAAATGTGTCCATTAGCCTCCATGGAATAATCCAGGAAAGCATGTGCTGTGTTTTTCTGGATCATGGTGAAACTCAGGAAAGGCAAATCTTAATAGTCAAGGGAAAAATCCAGGTGTTGCTTGGGGTCTCTGGCAGTCAGGGTGGATCATGCCTTCAGTTCCTGAAGTTCCCTCAGAGGAAGGTTATGTGGAGAGAGGACATTGTGGCTGCTGAGGGTGAAAGCAGAGGTCAGCTGAGTCCAGGTAGTGCTGCCTTTCACTGCTCAGCCAGAAAGGCAGAGACAGGGATTGTATTATAATTGTGCTTTTTTTTTTAACATTATTGAAATTATTTCTTTTTTGCCATTTTTTAATTTTAAATGTTGTTCAAGTACAGTTTTCTGCCTTTTCCTCCCTATAATTGTGCTTTTATTAATATCAGAGTGAGACAGGCTAGTGAAAAGCTAGGAAAATTCCTGGGAGAGTGGAATAAGGAATCTGAGATAAGAAGATTAAGGTGAAACTGAGCAACTTGCAGCCAGCTGGTGAAACGTAAGAAGACCTCATCTCCCCTTAACAGGGACAATTGGCAGTCAATGGTTTATACCTCTCCTCCCTAACCAGAGAATACCTAACCTCCCCAGCTATAAGGCTATCAACCACTGTCCTCAGGGGAAGAGAGGAAGAGGAGTTTTAATGCAAATGGAGGGATAACAGCAGAAAAGGCAGCCAGCTTGGGAAGAAGCCTCTGACTACCCTTTCTGTTCCCACTCCCCTTACTCCTGGAGATTCCCCCTCCCAAATTCTTACAGTTCCCCTGTGTAAACTCACCTCTGAAAGCTCACCTCTGAAAGGGAGGTGGGTGCTAGGTTTTTCACCAGCCACCTTTACCAGACTGCTGGCCTCTGTCATTAATAAGAGCACAGTTATAATCCAATCCCTGTCTGCTTTCTAGCAGAGCAGTGACAGGCAGCAGGAGCCCTGGACTCCATTGTCCTTGGTTTCAAGAGGCAGGCAATCTGAGAAGGTGGCAGGTAAAAGCCTTAACATCCACTTTCCCTTGAGCTTTTAGAAGCAGGTTTGCAAAGGGTAAATGTGGGAATATGGGAGGGGGAAGTACCTATGGGGAACTTGGAAATGCCCTTTTCCTTAGGGGTAAGGATAGGGGGAGCTGCTCAGAGTCATGCAGCTTCTTCCCAAGCTGGCTCCCTTTGTTCCCCTGTTACCTCTCCATTCATGTTCCTTTTCTTCTGTTCCCCATACACCCGCGTTTTATGGTTGGTGCCTGAATATCTCACAACTGTAACGAGAAGTGTCAAAAGAAAGTTCTGTTGCACTTTGTGGAATCTTACTAAAAGTCTTTATTACTGGTTCTTAGAACATGATGATCAGCCTCCACATTCCTGGTGACCAGATACTTCAGGGTAGGGCCGGGTTGGATGTGCCTTTGTCCTTGTTTAGTGGACCATTAACTGTAATGAGATCTCAGCCAGAACATAAGGTTTAAGTATAAACTTGCTGAATTGGTACCTAGTCTGTTAGTAGTTCTCTAAGCCTATGATGCTGAGAAAACTGAGCTGGCCCTAATAAGAATTGTATCTCTATTTCTCAGACCAGGATGATTTAAGCTCTGTATTCTCTGGTTAGGGAGGAGAGGTAGAAACCATTGCTCTCAAGTGTCCTTAGTTAGGGGACAAAAGGTCTTGGCAGTTCACCACCTAGCTGAGAGGTGCCCAGATTATTTGGCTTTGTTTAACTTTCTTGTCTAAGATTCCCCATTCCACTCACCCAGGAACTTTCCTAGCTTTGCACTATCCTGTCACAAGGGTTCAGCAAGTGCAGAACAGAGTGGAAAGGGGTCATGTTCTCCTGAAATTTACGTGGGCTTCTGGGAAGTAAATACTGAGGCAAGGGCCAGATTTATAGAGGAGGCCTTCAAAGCAGCATCTGCACAAATGCATACCTGTGGGAGCTCAGGTGGGGACTGAAGGTGTCAGAGGGACAATCTACAAAATGATGGGCTTATTGAGAAAAACTAGGAGTTATGGTCCCAGAGCCCTAGTGTTGGGCACTGAAGGGTGAAGCATGAGCCCGCACTTGGCTGTGTCTTGTCACAATCTAAATACTCCCCTACGGAGTTAATGACAGGGGTGGATGGGACCCTACAAGCCAGGACCAGAACTGGATTACATCTCTGTGCCTTCCTGCCTGATAAGGCTGAGGGCTGAACAATAATGAATAAAAAGGGACCTGAGGGTATGACAGGCATCAGTGGAATTGCTCTGAACTGTGCAGCTTTGGAGAAGGGTGAGTGTGAGATAGATATGTGGGGGGGGGGGGGGTTGTGGGCTCTCACACACACAGAAAATTCATGTTTTTTCCCTGTCCCCATGATAACAGGCCAGTGTGACCTTTGAGGATGTTGCTGTGCACTTCTCCTGGGAGGAATGGAGGCTGCTTGATGAGGCTCAGAGACTCCTGTACCTCCGTGTGATGCTGGAGAACTTTTCACTCATATCCTCTCTGGGTAAGACCCACAGCCTCACCAGTGACTCGGACTAGACTCTACTCCATCCACCCCAAGACCTTTCTCAGTGCTCAGGTGTAGACCACGGGCACTTGTTGCTGCCCCAGTTTTCCAGGTAGTTGCTATATTGATAGGGCTGGTGTGTTTTCACTGCCCTCTTCTCTCCCTTCAGTCCCAGTCCTAAACCCTTTTAGGGAAGGATTCAAGGTCAATACTATTACATTGAGCTTGGTGGATTCACAGTGCTTGCCCTCTTAGTGTCTGGGTTAATGTGTCCAGATCCGCATCACTTTTGCATCCCAGGGTTTGACTCCTTTTAGCTATAATTTCCTGCTGCCTACCTGGGCCAGGAGTTGCAGGTGTTGTCATGGCTGTTACATAATGGAAGCACAGCTTCTTTTTAACATTCTCCTGTACGGTGTGTAGTGTTTAAATATGTTTTCCTTTATTTATTTATGATTGCATTTATTTTTAGAGAGGGGGAAGGAAAGAGAAACATCAATGTATGGTGCCCCTTACTGGGGACCTGGCCTGCAACCCAGGCATGTGCCCTGACTGGGAATGGAACCAGGGACCCCTTGCTTCTCAGGATGGCACTCAATCCACTGAGCCACACCAGCCAGGGCTTCCCCCCCACCCCGCCCCCGAAAGATTTTTATTTATTTACTTTTAGAGAGAGGGAAAGGTAAGGAGGGGGTGGGGAGAGAAACATTGATGTGTGAGAGAGATATCAAGTGGTTGCCTCTTGCACACCCGCAGCCTGGGACCTGGCCTGCAACCCAAGCATGTGCCCTGACTGGGAATCTAACCAACGACCTTTCTGTTCTCAAGCAGTGCCCAATCCACTGAGCACACCAGCCAGGTGAAAATGCTTCTTTTTCTTCAGAGTTTTGGGAGAGATTAAGAAGGGTTAATATTAATCATTCTTTACATTTCATAGAATTTACCAGTGAAGGTACCTTTTCTTATTGGAAGATTTTTTGATACTGATTTAATTTCCATACTAGTCAGATATTCTGTGTCTTCATAATTCAGTGTTGATCAGTTGTATGTCTTCTGGGGTATCTGATTTTGTGGCCTGATTTCATGGTAGTCTTCTGGGATCCTCTGTCTCTGTGCTATCAGTTGTAGTGTCTTCTTTTATTTCTGAGTTAATTTATTTGCATCTTCCTTCCAGTCTTAAGTTAACCTAGCTAAAGATTTGTCAATTGAATTAATGTATTGGAAAAAACCTGCTCCTAGACTTATTGGTGTTGTTGTTTTTCTACTACTTATTTTATTCATTTTTTCTCTGATCTTTGTTCTTTTCTTTGTTCTGCTCTCCTTTTACTAGTTCCTCAAGATTTAAGTTTATTGAGCGCGGGCTGGGAACCAAAGTGTCCCAGGTTCCATTCCCAACCAGGGTACATTCCTGGGTTGCAGGCCATAACTCCCAGCAACCGCACATTGATGTTTCTCTCTGTCTCTCTCTCCCTCCCTCCCTCCCTAAAAAAAATAAAAAATTAAAAAAATAAAAAAATAAAAAATCTTTAAAAAAAAGATTTAAGTTTAGGTTGTTTGGAATCTTTCTGTTTTCTTAACAGTGGCATTTATAGCTCTGAATGCTCCTCTTAGAATAAATTTTGCACATTCCATGTATTTTCATTTGTCTTACATTTAAAAATTTTTTTTCTTTGATTGGTGAGGAGTATGTTATTTAATGTCCACATATTTGTGGATTTTTCAACTCTCTCTGTTACTGATTACTGGTTTTATCCATTATTTTAGCAAAAGGTACTTGATATGATTTTAGTCTTCTGAAATTTTTTAAGCCTTTATTTTTTTATTTTTTTATTTTTTAAACTTTTTATATTAATTAATTAATTTATTTATTTATTTTAAAAAAGATTTTATATATTTATTTTTAGAGAGAGAAGGGAGGGTGATAGAGAGGGACAGAAACATCAGTGTGTGGTTGCTGGGGGTCATGGCCTGCAACCCAGGAATGTACCCTGGCTGGGAATCGAACCTGCGACACTTTGGTTCGCAGCCCGTGCTCAATCCACTGAGCTACGCCAACCAGGGCTATTTTTTTTATTTTTTTAAGTTGTTGTTCAAGTACAGTTTTCTGCCTTTTACTCCCTGTTAAGTCCTTTTCTGATGTAACATAAGATTAATCCTAGAGAATTTTCTGTGTGTACTTGAGAAGAATGTGTTTTGTGCTATAATAGGATGAAATGTTCTCTATATGCTAGTTAGATCTGTTTGGACTAAAGTGTGAGTCAATTCAAATATATCTTTATTAAACTTTTGTCTGGTCATCTCCTCATTGTTGAAAGGGGGATGTTGACGTTTTTTACTAATACTGTGTTGCTGTTTTCCTGTATTCAGATATAGTAGTATTTGCTTAATACTTAGTTTAGATCCTCTGATATGTGTTGCATATATACATACAGTTGTTACATGCTTTTGATGAAGTTACTCCATTTTCATTATGTAATGACCTATTTTATATCTTGTGATAGTTTTTCACATGGAGTCTATTTGGTATAGCTAACACTGCTCTCTTTTGATTTTCATTTGTGTGTCATATCTTTCAATCCCTCACTTTCAGCCAATGTGTGTTCTTACTGCTGAAGTTACTCTATGGTAGGCAGGATATACTTAGGTCTTGTTCATTCATTTGTTTGTTTGTTTGCTTACTATTTATTTTACCAGTGTCTTTTGATTGGAGAATTTTATTAGGACCTACTATTACCATCTTGTTTATTATCTGACTGCTTGTAGTTTCTTTTTCTTTTTTCCTTTCTTTTTCTTTGTAATTTGATAGTATGGTGGTATGTTTTTATTTCTTTGTCATTATTTTTTGTCTGTCAACTATACCTTTTTGCTTTGTGGTTTCCAGAGGCTTATCTAAAACTTCTTACAGTTAAAACATTCTACTTTACGCTGATAATGACTTCAATTGCATATAAAACCAATACTCTTACTCCCCCCACACACATACACATTTCATGTTTTTGATGTTACAATTTGATAACCATTACCAAATTGGAATATTCTGAATTTGACTCAATACTTATCTTTACCAGACTATTTTATATTTACATGTTACTAATTTGTGTACTTTTCTTTGTACTTGAACTACTTGCTGGAGCATTTCTATTTTTTTATTATTTTTATTTTGTTTTATTTTATTTTAATTGTTGTTCAAGTAGTTTTCTGTCTTTTACTTCCATCCCAGCCCACCCCACCAGCCTTCCCCACTTCCTCCCATTCGTGCACGCCTCCCTTCCCGCCACCCCCCCCCCCCCAGTTTTTTTCTATGTATCCTTTATACTTTTTCCTGTAAACCCTTCTCCTTCTCCCCTGGAGCATTTCCTATAGGGTAGGGCAAGTAGTGATAAAGTCCCTCAGCTTTTCTTTGGAAAAGTGTCTCTTCATTTCTGAAGGAGAGCTTTGCTAGTAAAGTATCTTGGCTTGCAGATTTGTGGGAGAAACAGCAATTGGTTGCCTCATGTACAGCCCCACTGGGGACCTGGCCCACAAACCAGGCACTGGAACCAAACCAGCACATTTCAGTTCACAGGCCAGTGCTCAATCCACTGAGCCACATAAGCCAGGCCATTGGTTGTTTCTTGTATGTGCCCTGACCTGGGATCAAACTCACATCATTGGCTCATGTGGATGATGCTCTAATCATCTGAGCTACAAGGCCAGTGATCCTATTCCCGCTTTGACACTTTGCTGACCTGTCATTTCTAATACTCATCACTTCCATTGTGGTTTCCAGCTCAGTTGATCCCACATTTCAACCACTCTCTCATCCCTCTTTCTGTAGTATTCTTGAACATTGACCCCTAGGTATTGTGCTCTGAATTGTTCCCAAATCTATATATTGACCTTGTACAGCAGCTAATATCTTGCATTTGGATAGTAATGGACTTACATGCATGCTTTTACCCAGCCTAATGTCAGCAGCAGAGGAGGATGTGCAGGAAGCTGTTGGCAGAGGAAATGCATTGTAAGCCCTGCCTCACTTCTGTGTGTCATGCCTGTCTAGTAGCCTTCCCCTGGAGGGGTTTCCATTATATCATGACTTACAAGCCCAGTAACATAACACAGCGAGCCAGTTGTTCAGCTGAACATCCTTGTTTTGAAAAGGATTTTATTTATTCATGCCTACATGTGACGTGAGAATATGTGTCATGGGGTTCTCTCCTTTCTGTAGTCAACAGGTACTTCTCCAGCATTTATTTATTTATTTATTTACTTACTTATTTATTTATTTTTGTTCAGGTTGCTGCTGTGGAGCAGAGGGTGTGGAGGCACCCACTGAACTGAACATTTGTGCACGAGCGCCTCAGGAAAGGAATGCCAAGGCAGCTTCGTCTCCCCAGAAGAGCCACCCCTGTGAGGGTTGTGGGACAGTCTTGAGAGACATTTTCAGCTTGTTTGAGCACCATGGAACACAGCAGAGCCCACCACTACTGAGGTGTGGGGCATGTGCAAAACAATTTCATTTCAGTGCAAAGTATCACCAGTACCAGGAGCAGCTTATGGGACAGAAACTTTTCAGAAGTAGTGTGGACAGGACCTCATTTGTGAAGAGGAAGCCCTTTGTGTCAGGGAAGCCCTTTAGCCGTGGTGAGGTTGAGAAGGACATCCAGGCTAGCTCGGGAAATCAGCAGCAACAGGACACCCAAGTGAAGGAGTCAAACACAGGGACCCAGTGGGAAGCAACGTTACAAAACAGAAAAAGTCAGTACACCTCAGAGGAAGGCAAGAAAGCTTTTAACCCTCAACACATACTTATTCAGGACCAGGCTGTTAATACTGGAAGACAGTGTTTTGTGTGCAGTGAATGTGGAAAAACATTCAGGTACAAATCCTCATTTGTCACGCACTGCAGAGGCCACACTGGAAAAAACTTTCCTGTGAATAGTGAAAGTGGAAAATCCTTTAGTGAAGCCTCAACCCTCCATGAGCATCAAAAAATTCATACTGGAGCCAGGCGGTACAAGTGCAGCAAATGTGGAAAATCCTTAAGCCTCACATCTGTCCTCATTCATCCCAAGGGACAGGAAAATATAGAAAACAATTACATGTGTACTGAATGTACTCAGTCATTTAGTCATAGCTCAGCGTTTAATCAGTCTCAGAGAGTTCACACTGGAGAAGAAACTTATGAATGCAACGAATGTGGAAAATCTTTTAACAATAGGTGGAAGCTGGTTCGACACCAAAAATCTCACACAACAGAAAGGCCTTATGGGTGTAGCGAGTGTGGGAAATATTTTACTGAGAGGGGAAAACTTGTTCGACACCAGAAAACTCACACAGGAGAAAAGCCGTATGTGTGTAGTATATGCGGGAAATCTTTTTATCGTCGCTACAACCTGACATATCATGAGCGAATCCACCGAGGAGAAAAGCCTTACAAGTGTGGCGAATGTGGGAAATGTTTTACCACTGGCTCTGCCCTCTATAGTCATCAGAGAGTTCACGGAGAAGAAAGGCCTTATGAATGCACTGAATGTGGGAAATGTTTTACCAGTGAATCGATACTCATTCGACATCGTAGAGTTCACACAGGAGAAAGGCCTTATGAATGCACTGAATGTGGGAAATCTTTTACCTGGATCTATGCCCTTCAGTGTCATCAGAGAGTTCACACGGGAGAAAAACCTTATGTGTGCAGTGAATGTGGGAAATCTTTTCCCAGGATTTATAACTTTCGTTGTCATCAGAGACTTCACACTGGAGAAAGGCCTTATGAATGCAGTGAATGTGGGAAGTCTTTTGCCTGGATGAAAAGCCTGCATTATCATCAGGGACTTCACATAGGAAAAAGGTCTAGTGAGTTGCAGTGAATGCAGGAAATCTACCTGGAACAAAAGCTTTTGTTATCATCAGAAAGTTAATACAAGAGAAAGGCCTTATGTGTGCAGTGAGTGTGGGAAATCTTTTACCCGTTGCAACACTCTCTCTTATCATCAGACAGTTCATACAGGAACAAAGCCTTACAAATGCAGTGAGTATGGAAAATATTTTGCCTCTGGTTCCACCTTCCATTGCCATGAGAGAGTGCACACAGGAGAAAGGCCATATAAGTGCAGTGAATGTGGGAAGTCTTTCATCTATCATTCCAAACTTCATAATCATCTGAGAATTCACACTAGAGAAAAGCCTTAAGTGTGCTGGCAATGTGCAATTTTCTGTTCATTGTAACAGTCTGGAGGAAATTCTTTGAAGAGACTTTTGAATTGAAACATCCATGTGAATATGCACAGTATGGAAATTGCCTGTCATTTTCACTTATATGGGAAGTGTTTGTAAATATGTCACACTTTCTGACTTGCCCAAGGCTCCTTCTAGGTTTATTGTGTAGCTGCATTCTGTGATTCTAGTCCTTTCACCTTTACCACAGTGCAGGTCCACAAAGTTTGCATCATTCAACAGCCTAATGTGCTCAGGGAAGCTGAACTCTGGTCTCACGAGTGTTCTAGCAAACTAGAAATGACTGGAGCCCTCAGGAAGACAGCTTTCTCTTTGCTAGTAATTTGGATATGGACTAGGTCCTCTGTTGACCCCGAGAATGTCATGAGTTCTGCACTCAAGCTTGCATAGAAATGTCTACCTGTTCCAGAGATGTGTTCATCTCACATGATGTTTTGATGAGATTTCCCAGCTTATGAACTTGGTACATGCCTTCTGCACATTGCTTTGGCTTGCACTAATTCAAGCCTTATTTTTACTTTTGAGGATCTTACTTGATTTTAGAGAAAGGGAAAGAGGGAGAAAAAGAGGGAGAGAGTGTTAATGTGAGAGGGAAACATTGATCAGTTGCCTCTTGCACACACCTGAATGGGGGGACTGAACCCACAACTTAGGCATGTGCCCTGACTGGGAATAGAACATACCACCTTTTGCTTTGTGGGACAACACCTAACCAACTGAGCCACACTGGTCATGACCAGGCCTTAATGTTTAAGTTTTTTCTTTAGTTTTGGTTATTTCTTTTGTATGGGGGTAGTTTATAAACTGATTCAGGCTCTAAAACCGTGAAGAGCTGAGCAAATTTTTTATGGTCTCAAATTTTCTCTGGTTGCTGGTTTTCTGTGTTTGTTGAGGCCACTGTATGATGGCAGAAAATAACTGGCTAGTTTTGACCAAATTTGCATGGCTATCCACAGGCTTCTAGAAAGGACTAAAGGCTTTCTGGTTTTTGTTTAGATGCCATGAGTTTTAGGAGTCTTTGAGATGATCCAGAGGGGAAGGTAGGTGTGAGAACCTGCGGTACTTACAAGAGTAGCCTGTTTTTTTTTCCCTTACACACAACAGATGTCACAGATTCTACTAGTACTGTTGAGGGTCTATCTTTCCTCAGGTCTAGAGAAAGTCACGTGCCCTGGCTGGCGTCCACAACTCATTGGGCTTGTAGAGTCACCAGTTGAAAAACTGGGTCCATGGAAAACCATAGTTAGTGCAGAAACACTAATAGTGGCCTATTAGGGATTGGAGGAGACTGCAGCCAGCTGGATAGAACTTGCCTCATCCAAAGATGCACCCGAAATTGTTTCTATGACCCCGATTGCATGATGAGTGTACACAGATCTGAGGAACGCCAGACATCATTATCTTGTGTAGCTGACATCACTGTGAGAAAAACAAAAATAATCAAGAGGTTTTGTGGATTCCCATAGCCACTCAGTGATGTCTGCCTCAAAGCCATTACTACACACCAGGAAAGGAGAAGAGATGGGTGGAGGGACCTGTACTCCAGGGTTATGATTCTTGACGCAGGCAGCATTCTTGTGGACTAATGTACAGATGTTCATTACTCACCACATTTGATGCCATCGAGGCAATACTGAGCCCCAGAGGGCCTGAGGAAAGATGGTGGAGTCAATGTAGAGTGGTCAAGCCTATTTTCCAAAACAAGTATAATACAAAGTTTGTTGTTGTAATCTTGAGCCATTTTTTTAAATTTCACTACCAATTTACATGCACTACCTGCATCTATATAAGGTATACAATTTGATAAATTTTGACATAGGTATGAACTTAGGAAACCATTATTGTAGTCTTGATAGTGACCACATCTGTCTTTCCTTGCTCACCAGCTGCCACTGAGGCCAGGCAGACATCGCTAGGACAGAAGAGCTCCTGGTGTCAATATAGAGTTTTATAGCATATTTTCTGAAGAGTGTGAAGCCTAGGTTTTTCTTTTTGACTGTTTTTATTATTTAGTAAGGAATAAGTGACAGGCAATAAAATATATTAAAGTTTACATTTTTGTTAAGTATTTCTGTATATAACAACCTGTGAACAGGCCATCCCCCATGAGAGTGAGTCTCTGTCACTTGCACATGTGCCTTGTGTTTTTCTCTGTAATCCCTCCTCCTAGCCTTCCCTGACATCACAGCAATCATTGATTTGCTCTTTGTATAGATTGGATTGCATTTTCTAGACTTTTTTATGGTTGTAATTAAAAAGTGTTTGTTGTTTCTCCCTCCATTCCCTCATGCCTATTTTTTGAGACACTTGTCTTATTTCTGAGTAATATTTCGTTTTCTGGATATATACCACTATCCATTCATCTGTTCAGGGCAATTGCCAATAAAGCTGATGTGGACTTTTTTTTTTTACAATTAAAAATGTTTATTGATTTTTAGCCCTGGCTGGTGTAGCTCAGTGGATTGAGTGCGGGCTGCGACCCAAAGTGTCACAGATTCGATTCCCAGTCAGGGTACATGCCTGGGTTGCACACCATGACCCCCAGCAACCACACGTTGATGTTTCTCTCTCTCTTTCTCCCTCCCTTCCCTATCTAAGAAATAAATAAATAAAATCTTTTACAAAATGTTTGTTGATTTTAGAGAGAGAGAAAGACATCAATTGGTTGCCTATTATATGCACCGCGACTGGCGCTTGAACTGGCACATCCTTGCCAGTATTTCATATGATCAGTCTTTAATGTTAGCCCTTTTAGTAACTGTGTAGTATTATCTTGGTGTGGTTTTAATCACACTTGCATAAGGATTAGTGATTTTGAGCTTTTTCCTTTAAATCCTCAACCAAGGTTATGTTTATTGATTTCAGAGAGATCAGAAAGGAGACAGAGAAAGAGAAACATCAATTGCTTGCCTCCCTTATATGCCCCAACCTGGGATCAAGCCCACAACCTAGGTATGTGCCCAGACTGGGAATCCCGCATGCATCTTTTTGTTGTAGAGGATGATGTTCCAGTTAACTGAGCTCTTTTTCATGTGTTTAGTTGCCACCTGTATATCTTCTTCAGCACAATTTCTCTTTGTATCATATGGCTTTTTTCCTTTGCAAGTTATATTTCCCTTATTTACAAAGAAGATCTCAAAACAACAAACACGTGTTAAGAGTTTAACTAAATCGTATAGAGCATCATTATCATTTTTCTGTTTGGTTCATTGTTCTTTGTTTGTCTTTAATTTTCAGTTGGGGGAAGAGAGAGAGAAACATCTGTCAGTTGCCTCTCTCACGCCCCCAACTGCGGATCTGGCTTGCAACCCAGGTATGTGCCCTGACCAGGAATGGAACTGGTGACCTTTCAGTTTGTAGGCCAGCACTCAATTCACTGAGCCACACCACCCAGGCCTTGGTTCATTATTTCAAATTTTCTTATTTTCCCCAAACTTTGTGTGCCATGTATAATGTCATGGCCATAAACACCATACATGCCTAAATTTTAGCCTGCACATATTTACAATTTTCATCACAGAAGTCCAGGCTTCTAGTAACACAATAAATCTGACCCTGCGTTTTAGTGTTTGCCCAAAGCATAAATTCTCCCACTATGAAAGGTATGTGTTCAGAGAAGGAGCTGAAGAATTCTACTGTACCTCATGGTGTTAGCCCAAAAGCTAAACTAAATGCCTGCAGGAGGATACCAGACAGAGGACAGGGGGGCTGCCAGCTGGGTGGAGGTTCCAGAGGCTCCACAGTCGGGAAACAATCCAGAATATGAGGATGGAGAGAGCTGTTAGAACCCCTGGGGTCATGGGGACTCCCAGCGGCCTCACCTCAGTATCAGGGCACACACTTTGTTTTGTTGAGTTGCCTACAGCCCCACCCGTACCTTTAAAGGAGTTCTCACAAGTGAGTTTTATCTTTTTCTCTCAGTAATTGTTGGTCTCCACATATTTACCTTCTACGCATTTTATCACCACTCGAGGAAACTTTTCCAGATCCCTTGGTCTGTCCTGTCCCCAGTGGGGCCTCTGAGGAAGACAGGTCCTGAAGCAGCCAGAGAGAATTCTCTGGACACCCAGTGTGGGAACTAGAGACCCACTGTGCCTGTGATATGAGGGCCAGTGCCCAGAGGGGACACCTACAGGGTGTTGCACCCTGTAGATCTGATTTGGGAGGGACCTTCCTGGCCAAGGTCTTTCTCCCTCTAGAGGCTGATCTCCCACTGCTCATTTCTAAGGCCATGCATAGCCAGATTGCATGGGGATGTGCAAAAGTCAGATTCCAAACCCTCAGCAGTTCAGTTTCCAAAATGTTAAGGCAGAAAATGTCACTGCAGATTGATGAACTCAAGTGTCACCTTTATTGTCCTAAGAAAAACCATATAGGAACGTACGTGAATCCCACACACGTGCAGCAGTCTATGCATGTGCACAGAGCTAAGTAAACACTCTTGCCAACACTGTTTTTCTCCAAGATGTACACTGGTTAGAGGTGCTTTTCATGTTCCATGTTTATAAAGAAGTAATCCACTAACAAACAGTACCAATGTGGGCATCCTGTACTTTAACTTTTGTCTCATTAACAACATGCCCTGCTAAACTTGCAACCTCAGTTGTGAAATTTTGCAGCTGTATAAGAGACTCAGGTTAATCAGATGAACAACAAGAGATGGAGGTGTCTCAAAACACTGACTGGGACCCTGCCCCGAAAGAGTAGATAGGCTTGGGGCTGAGAAGTTGCGTTTCTTTCTTTTCAAAGGTTTTATTTTTTTGTTTTTAGAAAGAGGGGAAGGGAGGGAGAGAAACATCAATGTGTGGTTGCCTCTCGTGTGCGACCTGGCCCACAACCCAGGCATGTGCATGGGAATCAAACTGGTGACCCTCTGGTTCCCAGGCCAGCACTCAGTCCACTGAGCCATACCAGCCAGGGTTCAACCAGACTTTTACAAATGAGGCAACTCCTTACACTACAGGCAATCCAATCATTTTCTTTGCTTTCCTTCTGCTCAACAAAAGCCTTTCCTCGAGTCTGGTTTGGTGCTGCCTGATTGGAATTGGCATTTCCTCTAGGAAAAAAAGTTTATCTTTAAAGAGGACAGATCTCACCCTCCCTACTCTTGCTTCTAGAAAAAAAACCCTACAGGGTTCATCCTTGTCAATGGTGTTCTTAGAAAGGATGCCTTCCTGACCTCTGTGCTCTCCCTTACACCCCACACCCTATTGCTGAGTTGGTGCCTGAAGTTTGGTCTCTGCCATCAGGTATCTGATGGTGACTGTTGAGCAAATACAAACAAAATCTTTTCTCGGCCCAGAAATACTCTCTACAAGGGTAGTAGAGACAGAAACAGTTTTATTATTAATCATTAAACCACAGTTTGTTGTGCATCGCAAGCAATCCCCTAAGAAAATTGCAAAGACAGACCAACCTCATTCCTCAGTATAGGTGCAACCAGAGGGCAACCAAGTCCCTGCCCTGCTGCCTGCCACCACTCAGCCAAAATGCAGAGACAGGGATTGGATTGCAATTGCACTTTTATTAATGACAGAGGCCAGCAGTCTGAGAAGGTGGTGGGTAAAAACGCTACCATCTACTTGCCCTTGAGCTTTCAGAAGCAAGTTTAC